CCACGAAATCACCCTCCTTCTCATAGAAAACATCACATGGTTGTACAAATTCATGTTTGGCGTACTCCACCACACTCATCTGAGCCTTCTTCTTATCTTCAAATGCTCTTAAAATAAATAGCTTGGGGGCCAACAGGTGGTATGGTGATTAAGGTGCTGGTTCCCACAAGGCTGACTACAGTTCAAGTCTTGGTACCTGGCGGTCTGAAAATCACAACAAACAAATAGATAAATAAATAAATGTTAAAAAAAATTTAAAATAAAATAAATAAATGGCTGGGGCCAGTTTGTGGTGTAGTGGTCAGGGCACTGGACTCCCTCATGGCCAACCATGGTTTGAGTCCGGGACTTGGCTTGCTTTCTCACTGTCCCACTCTCTCTCTGGTAAGTGTATGTGTTCTATAGCAAATTAAAATAATAATAATAATGATATATAAATAAAATTAAATAATTTTATAAAAATAAAATAGCATGGCATCAACACACATTTCTGCCTGACTGAAGAAAGCATGTGAAGCCATTTTCCATTTCAAGCCATATTATTTAGAGAAGTTTAGTTTATAAATGGTAGTTCTCTGTCCTGCATCCTTGATCTTCCCTTCTCCTGAGTTGACAAGAACATTCACAACATATACCTCATGTACCTCAAATTCAGCTTTTTCATGATCCTTCTTCTGCTGGTCTGTGGGATCCTGGATGATGGTTTTCTCTCATCAATGATACTCTGCTTCAATTGGTGTGCAATTAAATGAGTGGGTCACTTTGTTCTAGGTTTCTGTTACATGTGTGTTCTGATTTCCAGATCTGATCAGGCAGGGCAGCTTCAGCAGAGGTGAACTGCCTTAATGACATCTGCTCTCTGCCCTGTTTCTTGGGTCCCCTGAGCTACATCAACCACAAAAGTGTGAACCACATTAGCAATGAAGCCATCTACACGGATCTCAAGGTCAACTTTTACCAGCTCACCTTCCTTGAGAATATAGTCCTGGTTGCTCTCCAAAGGGGAGAAGTAATATACAACTATTTAACGAAATGCTGGTAGGAAAGGCAGTACCTTTTTTAAATATCCTTTCTTTCTTGAAGATTTTCTCTGTCTCTTTTATAATCATGGCATCTCCTTTCTCACATGGGCTCAGTACCCACATTCCTGAGCTGATGCTTCCACCAAAGACCAAAATACCCAGTTGACAATGTGCCACCCCCTACCCCCCCCCCATCTTATACTTGGTCACAAGGTCCTCGGTGATAGTTTGTTCCTGTGTTCATCTTTGTCTGACATCTTCCTACTACCACCCCACTGCAGTCTCCTTTCTCCTGAGCCACCGCTTCTGTCTGCCTTCTTAGATAGAGGCTGTGGTTAGAACACCCCTCCATCCACGAGGAGGGCGCAAGCAAAAGCACAAACAAGCAAGGGAGTGGGCAGAAGAGAGTGACAGGAAGGGTATTTCTTTAGCCACTTCATTGAACTTGTTTCACCTTATCCCGTTGGATTCTTCAGGAAAAGAATCATAATCGCTGAATATTTTTTCATTTTCTTTCATGTATATATGTGTGTATATGTGTGTGTGTGTGTGTGTGTGTATAACAGCATATATACACAAATCTATATAACAGTACATATATACCTATATATGTAATATACACACACTGTTTTGGTTTGTTTGGTCCTACCGAGTTCACTTAGGACCTCAGGAAGATATTAACTAGTAGCAGCAGTCCTGCCCCTAACAACTTCATGACCACAGAACAAGAGTACAAAAAAGAGGTCCATATGCCATATGTCTAAATATTTAAAGATTATAAATCAAGCTAACCAACTGTTATGTTAAAAAGTTTTATCCTCCTACCTTGACACACCTAATTATAGCAAATACAGATATGACAAACTAGGAGGAGGTCCAGTTCACATCTAGAATCCTTGCATACTACACAATCCTACTGTATCTGAGGTAGCTTTTTCAGAACTTAACACAAATTACCTTTACTTCAAAAGATCTTATTTACTGACTCTTGCATAAAAACATCTTCCATACTATTGCCTAATACTTGAATTTTTTCTCTTTAGAATTAAAAGTTTGATAAGCACCTCATTCCTGTTTGTAAACCAAACAAACATCAGCATCCACTGTGCCCCCAGAGAAAATCCAACTTGTTTATAGAGTTTGTGTTTTCTTTTTAAGAATTATTTTATTTAACTTTATTTACTTATCTATTTAATTTGACCAGGAAGGGACAGAGTGAGAGGGAGAGAGAGAAAGAGAGAGCGAGAAAGTGAGAAAGTAAGCAAGCCACCAGGTCCGGGACTCCAACCAAGGTCAACCATGTGGGAGTCCAACGCCCCTAACCACCACACCACCTGCTAGCCCCTGTGCTTTGTTTTGAAATGTCTTTCACGTCTTAGCATCTGTAGTCTCATTTTTACCTCCACTCCCATTCCACCGAAGGCCCTAAGAACTGAGTGTCCTTAGCTGTGGTGTGACATTCTCATGACTTCTGAGGACAATACATGAGTGGACACATTCTAAGTGAGTCATCGGAATGTTCAGAAACACATATAAAAGGCGGGGATCTACACGGATCTCAAGGTCAACTTTTACCAGCTCACCTTCCTTGAGAATATAGTCCTGGTTGCTCTCCAAAGGGGAGAAGTAATATACAACTATTTAACGAAATGCTGGTAGGAAAGGCAGTACCTTTTTTAAATATCCTTTCTTTCTTGAAGATTTTCTCTGTCTCTTTTATAATCATGGCATCTCCTTTCTCACATGGGCTCAGTACCCACATTCCTGAGCTGATGCTTCCACCAAAGACCAAAATACCCAGTTGACAATGTGCCACCCCCTACCCCCCCCCCATCTTATACTTGGTCACAAGGTCCTCGGTGATAGTTTGTTCCTGTGTTCATCTTTGTCTGACATCTTCCTACTACCACCCCACTGCAGTCTCCTTTCTCCTGAGCCACCGCTTCTGTCTGCCTTCTTAGATAGAGGCTGTGGTTAGAACACCCCTCCATCCACGAGGAGGGCGCAAGCAAAAGCACAAACAAGCAAGGGAGTGGGCAGAAGAGAGTGACAGGAAGGGTATTTCTTTAGCCACTTCATTGAACTTGTTTCACCTTATCCCGTTGGATTCTTCAGGAAAAGAATCATAATCGCTGAATATTTTTTCATTTTCTTTCATGTATATATGTGTGTATATGTGTGTGTGTGTGTGTGTGTGTATAACAGCATATATACACAAATCTATATAACAGTACATATATACCTATATATGTAATATACACACACTGTTTTGGTTTGTTTGGTCCTACCGAGTTCACTTAGGACCTCAGGAAGATATTAACTAGTAGCAGCAGTCCTGCCCCTAACAACTTCATGACCACAGAACAAGAGTACAAAAAAGAGGTCCATATGCCATATGTCTAAATATTTAAAGATTATAAATCAAGCTAACCAACTGTTATGTTAAAAAGTTTTATCCTCCTACCTTGACACACCTAATTATAGCAAATACAGATATGACAAACTAGGAGGAGGTCCAGTTCACATCTAGAATCCTTGCATACTACACAATCCTACTGTATCTGAGGTAGCTTTTTCAGAACTTAACACAAATTACCTTTACTTCAAAAGATCTTATTTACTGACTCTTGCATAAAAACATCTTCCATACTATTGCCTAATACTTGAATTTTTTCTCTTTAGAATTAAAAGTTTGATAAGCACCTCATTCCTGTTTGTAAACCAAACAAACATCAGCATCCACTGTGCCCCCAGAGAAAATCCAACTTGTTTATAGAGTTTGTGTTTTCTTTTTAAGAATTATTTTATTTAACTTTATTTACTTATCTATTTAATTTGACCAGGAAGGGACAGAGTGAGAGGGAGAGAGAGAAAGAGAGAGCGAGAAAGTGAGAAAGTAAGCAAGCCACCAGGTCCGGGACTCCAACCAAGGTCAACCATGTGGGAGTCCAACGCCCCTAACCACCACACCACCTGCTAGCCCCTGTGCTTTGTTTTGAAATGTCTTTCACGTCTTAGCATCTGTAGTCTCATTTTTACCTCCACTCCCATTCCACCGAAGGCCCTAAGAACTGAGTGTCCTTAGCTGTGGTGTGACATTCTCATGACTTCTGAGGACAATACATGAGTGGACACATTCTAAGTGAGTCATCGGAATGTTCAGAAACACATATAAAAGGCGGGGGGGGGGGGGGGGGGGGAGGAAATGGGTCAGGAATTCGGGTCACCCAGAGAAGAGGTCCACGGACCTGCATAGAGATCAAAGCCAGCCAGCGGCCTGTCCACGCGGTAGAGTGGTAGAGGCTGGTCTGACCGGACTAACCTGAGAAGGCCATTAGGAAGCCCAGTCGGAGTTCCAGCTCAGTCACAAATTGGCTGATCTGGAGTGAGTCACTTAAACTTGGTTGAGCCTCAGAGTTGTCAATAAAATTGGAACAAGGACATCTGTCTTACGCACTCTACCAGTTTTTGAAGGAAATTACCTTTAGTCTAGAGCTTCAGTTTCTGTGACTGATACAGTTAAGGGGCGCCCCCCCGCCATAGTTACCTCACAGAGCTTTTGGGGGCGAGGGAAACAAGACATAGCCTTCCTGAACTCCAGTTTCTACTCATATAAAAGAGCTAAAAACACGGGCAATCCCGCCAATATAATTCTAGGAAGAGCAGAGGAAAGCGGACAGGGAAACTACAAACTGTGAAGGACTACACGAGTTGGAATTGTCTTAAAATATGACAAACTAACAGGACCAAAAAGGGCTCGTGCGTCACTTGTCTCCTGGCCCCAGTGTCGCAACTCCACAATGTAAGTCAAAATCACTTTTGAAACGATTCTCGCGGTCCAGAAAGGAGCCGGCGTTCGTACTCACCAGAACTGCTACTCGTGAGGCGGGACGGGCCCGGAGGGGGCGGGACTGGGCGGGGCCCAGGTAGAGCCGCCCCTCGTGACGCCCCGCCCTTTGTGACGCCCCGCCCCGCCCCGCCCGGCCGCGCCTGCGCAATGAGTACCGACTGGCCTCGAGCGCCCCGGCGGGAGGTAAGGGGCTCGCGGGAGGCCGCCTCGGGGGTGTTGGGCTCTGTCAGGATCTGTGGGCGGGGAACCGACCCGGGACTTTGTAGTGGCGCCCAGCTGGTAAAGGGACAATAGATCAGAAGTGCGAGTGCTATGGGGGAGTCTTTCTTGGTTTCGTTTTTGGAAGAGCTGTTCAAGCGGGCACAGAGAGGCCGCGAACAGGGCAAGCGTGATGGCCCCCGGGGTTGCCCCATAGGATTCTCGGCGCCTGTCTTGCCTCTGATGCGCAGTGGCCTCCAGGTCGCCAGGTCGCCGACTTCTCGGTTTCAGGACTGGCCTGCCACCCATTCCCTAAAGGGGGCGTTTGATGTGTGGCCGTGGTGATTGCCGCGGGTGACACTTGAGAGGTGACACCCCTCGGGGGTCACGAGGTGAGAGGTCCGAGCCTCCTGTCGGGACGGTTCGCAGAAAGGCCCACACTAAGTTCCTTCGTTTTAGGAATCCAAAGCTCAAAGAGGAGACCATCCAGTGGGACCGAAGGCCTTGACTTTTCTTTCCAAATTCAGTACCTTTTCCATGAGTCAGAGACCCAAGGCGACATACCTGAGGAAATCGGGCGTCATCAACATCCTGAGGTGTGAGATCTCTAGGCAGATGGAAGCTGTTCATCACTTTTGGGGTGTGGGGTTGCCAGCAGTTTGAACTTTTTCTAGGAAATGAGGCTTTTCACTTATAAATAACTTTGTAACTAATTCAGTTAACGTCTCAGTACTTTTCCCTATGGTATCTGTCTCATGGTCATCATAAGCTTTAAATCGCAAACCTTGTAAAGCACCTACCTGGCACAGTACCGGCACCCCTTGTTGCAGGTAGTACTGCGGTGAATGTGATAGCTGCTCTTCGGTTTCTAAATGTTTTTGCCTGTCTTATGTGAAATACCAACTCTTAGACACTAAGAAACTTTTTATTTTGAAATGATTTTGCAATGACAGAAAAGTTAAAACAATAATACAGAGTTGTCCACAGCTTCCTTTAATGTTTACATACCACAGTACAATTATCAAAAGCAAGAAATTAATTTTAGTACAATGCTATTAAGTGAATGGCCAACTTTCTTATGACTCTATTATATTTTTTACAAAAATGTCCTTTTCTATTCCAGGATCCAATCCAAAACCTATTGCATTTAGTTGTTATGGCTCCCCCTCCAATCTGTTGGCAGCTCTTTTTTCCTGTCTTTCACCACCTTTATACTTTTGAAGAGTCTTGGTCAGTTATTTTGTAGAAGAGCCCTCAAATGGCGTCTGTCTGATGGTTTCACTTGATAAGATTAATTTATGCATTTTTGTCAAGATAACCACAAAAGTGTATTCTTCTCAATTCATAATATTAGGGTACATAATATAACTTACTGCTTGTGTTAGATGTCAGTTGTAAATATGTTGTCTACTGGGGTTCTGCAATGTACAATTTCCTCATAATTGATAAATTGGGAGGAAACTTTTAAGATTGTATTTATTATTATTAACATTATCTACTTTGAGAGAGAGAGAGAGAGAAAGAGAGAGTGAGAAAGCAAGCTGCCAGGTCTAGGACTGTGATTGACTGTGTGGGCATCTAGCACCTTAACCACCACCTGCTGCCCCCCAGGGAAAACTTTTAAACTATGGAAATGTCCTGTTTCTCTTCGAACTTTCTCTTACTAAATTTAGCATCCATGGTGTTCTAATGGTGGTTTTCTATTTCCTTCATTTCTTCTTTATTAATTGGAATTTTTCTGTAAAAAAGAGCTGTTGATTCTCTTCATTTTTTTGTATTCAGTTATTTATTTGTATCAATATGGATTCAGATATATATTTTCCTACTGGTTTTTCTGTTTTTATTATTTATTAAATGTGTCTTAAGTTGTTCCAGCTTTTAACATTTTTTTTTCCTGGTTGTTTCCTATTCCCTTTTGACCAGCCAGTATCCTTTTTTGAGAATTCTTTTTGCTTTCTGGCACTGTAAAAGGTGGCATGCTCATCTTGTGTTTTCTCTGTTCCAGCCCTAGAATTAACTACTCTAAATATTCTTCCATTTCTGTCTTTATTTATTTTTTTTTAATTGCATTTAGGTACCAAAACCTGGACTCTAGGTGTGCTCATTGCTACTGGGTGTCATTGCTTTCAGGGCCTCACAAAAAACAGCAGTACTACATGTACACACACCCATATATACATAAAGATCTATATTTATTTTTGTATTTCTCTATCTGTATTTTTTTTTTAAATGTAAAATTGCCCATCCAGGCAGAAGACAAGGTTCCACATGGCTACAGTGAACTAGATTTTTAAGGGAATGAAGATTTTCTACTAATAATTCAGCCTCCAACAAACGAGCTAGCGGTAGGGAGCCCCCCTCTGCACCCCCAGCCTTCTCTCTCTGTCTCTCAGTTCCTGTCTCTCCCTGCTTCTGTCTTCCCTTTTTTTTTATTTGGTAATATTTCCTTTTTACCCTTTTTTTATTTTTCTCTGTCTCGTTTTCTTTTTTCTTGTCTCTTCACTCTCCAATATCCTTTCAGTGTGTTTTTAGACAGATCTAAGATCACTGTAGCTAAACATTCAAATACTAATAGGGTTGAAATATTCCCCACTATCTTCTGAATCTGCTGCACCAGCAAGCACAATAGAACAGCAAAGAGATTCTGGATCACCTCTGTCTGCTTGCTCCTTAACATTAAGGCTGAACCTCCAGAATTTGAAAGAAAACACAACATTCATCAGATGACAAGAAATCACCGCCGGATCACGAGAAACATGGGAAAACAAGAAAATACCTCTCCTCCTAGGGAAAAGAGTAACTCTTCATCCACAAGCAGTTCGGTGAAAATCATGGAAATGTCTGATAAGGAATTCAGATCATTCATAATGTCTAAGCTAACAGAGATGGAAGAGAAGAGAGATAATGAACTACTAAAGAGAAAGGAGAAAGAGATTGACGAGTTCCAAGAGATGAGGAAATTCCTGCAAGATCTAAAAGTGGAATTACACACTTTACAAAAGACTCAAACCGAACTGCTAGAGATGAAGTCTATAATACAAGAAGTCAAAATCTCCCTGGAAAGCATTAAAAGCAGACTAGATCATTCAGAAAATAGAATCTCAGATGTAGAGGAGAAAATGGCTGGCCTAGAAAAATCCACCATGAAGGCTGAGAAAATGGCACAAAAATTTGAGAATAATATGCGAGAAGTACTGGATACCATCAAACGTCCAAATATCCGGATAATTGGCATTCCAGAAGGTGAGGAAACCCATAAGGGCATTGATAATCTATTCCAGGAAATCCTGCAAGAAAACTTTCCAAACCTAGAGAGGCATTCAAAGATCCAGTCCCAGGAAATACAACGGACCCCAAATAGAATCAACCCTAGAAGATCTTCTCCAAGACACATTATAGCCAGGTTGACCAAAACTGCAGACAAAGACAAGATACTAAGATTAGCAAGAGAAAAACATCAAGTTACCTACAAAGGACATCCCATCAGGCTAACAGCAGATCTCTCATCAGAAACAATAAAAGCGAGGAGAGAATGGGAAAATATATTCCAAGTGTTAAGAGAGAAGCAGTTTCAGCCAAGAATACTGTATCCGGCAAGATTATCTTTCAGGTGGGAAGAAAAGACAAGAACATTCTCAGATAAACAAAACCTGAAAGAATTTACCAGCACCAGACCAGACCTCCAAGAAGTTCTCAAGGATGTGCTGTATCAGGAAAACTAAACGCAGATACATGGAAATAAGAGTCCAAAAACTGAGAAAGTAGCTAACTTAATCATAGGGACAAGTCTGGAGTTGAATACTATATCCCAGAATTTAATCAGGAAAATTGAACCAGAACAGAAGATAAAAGTATATGAGACTGATAGGTTCATGCACCTACCATTTGAACAGAATCCTAACCTGTTTCCTGGCTTTAAGCAAAGTTCCTTGGCGGTTCTTTGATTTAAGTTAAAACTGGTTTTCTTAGTAGTAACGAGTGAACTCACCTTTGAAAGTAGTTAGGTTATGTAGGAAATAGTGTGATCAATGCAATGTGGGTGGGAAGGGAATGGAGGACAATTTTGGACACTGGAGGTGGTGTGAGAGGAGGGTGGGAAGGGACAGAGGGTCAGAAAGAGGGGTGGAAATAATTCTAGGAACTAGAATTGGAAATTTATTTTTTCTGTAATGTGCATGAGTCACTATGCAGTGTGTACTGGATGGGAGATAGCATTTTGTGTGCTGGGATGATACTTAGGGAAGGAATGTAAATTGAGTTACAAAAAAAAGTTTCAGGAAAAAAAAATATATCTATTCAATGACTGCAGTAGGATATGTAGCCCCAGTTAGGTGCTAATTTATAGGATGCGTAAAGTTAGACTTGTGCTCATGGAAATGTGTCACATGTGTTTGCTAGGAGGGTATTTGGATTGATGAGGGTCTTTGGTGATTCAATAAAATGTGGGGGGAAAATGGTATAGAAAGCAAACATAGATAACAGAGAAAGTGTGGGAGGAGAACAGGAGGTGGCAGAGGGTAAGAGAGAGGGAACCAAGGATAAACAAGAAATGGGAGATCATTTGCTAAGAACAACATATTTGTTGATGTGCTTGATTGAGACAATATACAGTGTACTCTAGATGGAAAATCTCATTTTGTATGCTGTAATGATGTACAGTGAATGAATGCAAATAAATAAATTGGGGGGAAAAAAAATGTAAAATTTCAGGGCCAGCACATGGCTGACTGCAGTTCAACTTCCTGAACCTGGTGACTTGAAATTCACACCAGGTGTGCGTGTGTGTACATGCCCAAAACCCCAGGAGAAGAAAGGAGAAGAAGGAATTGAGAGAGGCCATACCTCCTGAAGGGTTATTTGGTTATTTCTCACTTTTCCTCTCACTGTTCCTTTCACCTGAAAACACATGTGCCCTATGGTAAAAATCTTAAAAAAAAAAAAAAAAAAAAATAACAACTTACTTTATTATCTCTAGTCCCTTTGCTATGCTTTTTTCTTTTTGGGGGGCCTGTGGGCTGTCTCTTTTGGCAATGAATTTCTCCATGTGTCTCTTGTTTCCATTCACTACTGCAGCTATTTTACCTTGTTTTTCATTCCTGGAGATTTTCCTTTTTTATTTTGAGTTTCTATCTACATAAAAACCAAGTTTCTAATGGATGGGTAGTAGAGGTAGTCTGTATTACCAACACTTCAAGATTTTCAACTGTGAAAGAAAGATTAAAATAGTATTTAAAGCAATAGTTTATAATGTTCTGGGAGTGATAGATCTCTTTGAGCATCTCTTGAAAGAATTGGATTCTATTCTCCAAAATAAAATGTATTTACAATCTTTTATAAAGCTTC